GTCTTTGGCTTGGTGGCCTCGGTCTTAGGCTGGTCAATGTCTTCAACATGATGCTTATCGGCCAAGGTCTTTAGCTTTGTGGCCCCGGTCTTTGGCTTGATGCTTGCCGACTGAGGTCCTTAGCTTCATGGCCTCAGTCTTACGCTGGCCAAGGTCTTTGGCTTAGTGGCCTCGGTCTTAGGCTGGCCGAGGTGCTCCCAAGCTCTCAACATTGCCGAAGAGCTCGGTGGCACCTGGACATGTAGAGCTTCACACTCTCTAACTGGGATAGCCATGGCCTCGGTTAGCTCTACTCCAACTGCAAGTCGGGAGGGTGTGCGGAGTTCGATGGCCATGGCCTCTTGCCATTCTGTGGTGGGGACGTCGTTCCTGTGGTACCCGTCAAAGTTTGGTCGAAATGTGTGCAGGCGTTTGGTCGCTTGTGCTTGAAGAAAAGTTCTTTATTCATTGAATTCGTACAACTCGGTGTGGTTCTTCCGTGCTTACCTGTTCTCCTCTTTAATGGCCTTCCCGCCCGAGATGACGATGATGACCCCGATGAGTGGAGCTTGGACTAGGGGCTTGTTAATGAGGTGTGGCTCTTCTCTGGATTTATGCTCTTTGATGTTGATGAAGCCATGGAGATATCCGAGTCAGATGAGGTCTTCTAGGTGGTGGCAGAGGTCATGGTAGTTTACGGTTTCGTGGTCATGGTCTTGATGGAAATCGTAATACTTGTCTCAATTTTTCTTGTTGGCCTGGGTTTTCATCTTCTCGGGCCACTTGATGAAGTTGCGGTTGCGGATTTGCATCAGTATCTCAGCCCACGGAGCATTGAGTGGAGCGAAGTTGTGATATGTCAGTCGCGGATTTGCCATGACCTCTATCACCACCTAGAAGACCTCATCCGACTCGAATATCTTTGTGGCTTCATCAACATCAAAGAGCATAAACCCAGACAAGGGCCACACCTCATCGACAAGCCCCTAGTCCGAGCTCCACCCGTCGGGGTCATCTCCGTCACCTCAAGCGGGAAGGCCATTAGAGAGGAGATCATGCCTCTTGGTTCTCGGTTTGCGGCCAAGTTGACGATCCTGCCTCTTGGTGTCTTAGTCCGATCTTCAGCCATCATGGTCTCTACGCTTCCAATCGTGCTAGTCTTCCTCCTCTCTATGTAGCACTTGGGCCTCTTCGGCGTTCATATACTTATGCACGTGCTTTATGAGCGCAGTCAAGTTGGGTGGAAGGTTCTTTTGTAAAGAAAAGCTGAACATTGAGGAGCGTAGCCCGCTTATGATGGCAGTTACGGCCACTGACTGGTCTAGAGCTCGAACTTGAAGGGCCTCAGCGTTGAACCTCACTAAGTATTCTCTCAGGGTATCTCCTATCCTCTGATGCACTTGCATGAGGCTGGCCAAGGTCTTCTAGTGCCTTTGGTTGGCGATGAACTATGCTAGGAACTGTATTTCCAACTGATCCCAGAAGGATATGGACTACGACGGAGGGGAGGCATACTAGGTTCTGGCGACTCCGTGGAGGGTGGCGATGAAGGCCTTGCACATGAGACCCTTGGAGGAGCCGTACAACATCATTATCAACTTGAACCCCTTAATGTGATCGTTGGGGTCCAATGCACCATCGTACTTCTCGAATCGAGGGGGCTACCAGTTGATTGGGGGGAGCTCGTTAATGATCTCCTGGATGAAGATGGGTTCCTTCGCGTGCTAGCTGTGGTGTTTCTCTGAGGGCTGGGCTGTCGGAGGAGCTACGCTTCTATATGCTTGGTTGCGTTCTAGTTTGGCCAGCCACTCTCTTAGTTCTCTGATTTCGGCGTCTCTGTTGATTAGGACCACATTTATGGACTTTTTCCCTCTTGGGATTGCGAGCCGGTCTTGAGCTGGATTTGACTATCGAGATCAACGGTTGCTACAAGCGTCGACCGAGTCGTTCTTTTGCCGATACCCGAGCAACGGAGTGATGGGATCTACTGCGGGCGTTGTGTGCCCGAGGTCAGACCGGGGAGTTAGATCTTCTAGATGTTTGTGGTCGTTTGTGGTTGGATTGGGCCCTATGCTTGTCTACGTGGCGCCTTTTGGAGTCCTCAGCGTGATGATCAACTGTAGTAGGCACTTGTGCGGCAAGGCAAGTAGTTTGGGGGGCATGTGCCAGTTGCCCCAACGTCTCCATCATGGCTAGGATACGGGTCAATCTTTTGCTACATGGCTTGTCACTACGCGAGGTCAACTGTTGCATGATGTTGTGGCTCTCGAGGCGGGGAGCTGCGAAGTGAGCAAGATCCCCGAGATGGGGAACAAGCTCCAAAGCGGTCGGATGTGTTCTTAGGCATGGTTGTTTTAGTGCACGAAGAAGAGTTTGGGAAATGACTTTTTGTTCTTTTCCCATAAACGACGCCAATTTGATACTATCCGATCTGAGGTGTTCCAAACCGAGGAAACAATCAGATAGTCTTACCAACTAGACGGGACCGAGGTGAAAGGATGAAGCCATACACCGAGATCTACAAACAGGAGAAATGTTAGAGGCCCAAAGAATTGTTTCCCGAGTAGATACTCTGATGCTCAAGTTAGTAGGGTAGAGAAGGATGTGGTCAAGATGAACAAATTGAAATAGCATTGGTTCGAGCTGAAGAGATAATGCCAAGAGGTATTCAAAGAGTATCGCTCCAAAAAGTCCCTTACTTCGAGTGGGGAATACCTGCTTATACTTGTGTGTCAGTGTCCCAAATGGATAGGGCTTCCAGGATTGTCGAGGTTTCTCTTTAATCTTCCCTGGTGGAGTTTGCTTCTTTGTTCGTGCAAGACACTCTTTCTTAGTCATACTCTTCCGTTAGGCGTGGCATCAACGTGGATGACAGCCACGAAGATAGCCACATGACATTCCTGACCACCTCAACTATTAACCAAACAAAAATATCACGATGTATTCATCAATAAAGGGCTGTGATTCACGGATTTAACCGAGGGTTACGTCAAGGGACATACAAGATATTCCCCATCATGGGAATGTGCTTATATTTACCATGTGTCCTAATTACAATTAAGGTAAGCTTAACAGGCCCCACTTAAGAAAAGAGCACTGATCTGCTACCCAAAAAGACTCTAATCACTCGTACCCACAAGTCAGTAAGCCCACCATGGAACATCTCTGCATGGATCACAATTGAGATGTTTCCCATGTACAGTTGTAGATAACCAGTAGATCTCTGACGGGTATCCAACTGAAGTTTTCCCGGTTGGGACTCCAGATTGGTGGTCCTAAGGCTAGGCTTAGATATAATTATATAAGCCCCACACCCTTGATGCAGACACTGGATTTCTTATTCACGGGATTCATTCACACTACCTTTTTTTTAAGAGCTACGCAATTGGGGTAGCCAATCCCCAACTCATACCCCCAATTTAGGTGCAGGTGGGATTCAATCCCAAGTCTCATAACCAGTAGAAGGCCTTACCAACCAACTGGTTGGCATTTTGCCATTCACACTATACTCACAAGGCACTAACCGTACATCACATACTTGTCCGTAAGATGTATATAATATAATTTTCAAATCAAATGGTTTATGGGTACTGTTAACATTAGATCTGCCAAAAATAAACATCAATCATAACTAATATAAAAACATATGTAAAAGGTAAAGATATAAGTTAATAAAGTTTGATTATAATATACGATATGATATACGAAAGACATAATATGAGAAATGCTTACAGCTAATCAACTGATATCATAGAAACCTTAAAAAAACCTGATATCATAAATAGCTGACCAATCAGGTGGTTTTCATCAAAATTTACAAGATGTTTTAATTAATCAAAGCTCTTTCAATACCATGTTTTGATTAATAAATTTGACTTTTATAACCTAAAGTAAACTCAAAACAAGTGTCCATTTTATATATTATAGATCATATGACATGATATCAGACCAATTACAGTGAAAATGCTCCCGTGATCGTCAAGATAAAACATAAAGAAAAGAAAAGTTCTTTTTTTTGTTTGGAAGCCAATAATAGAAAAGTTCAGAAACTTTTTTTATAGAATAAAATCAACGGGTTTTTATGCTTCGGTCCAGGCAGATTAAAATATGCATATATAGACACGTGGCTAACTGAGAGGGATAAACAGGTCATGATCACGTAAATGGCTTCTGTTTTATTAATAACAGGTAGAAATAAGCCAGTAATGTATAGGAAGAGACGTGGCAATAAGATCCTTGTGGGCCAAAGCGAAACAACTCTCGACTGTCATTACAAATTGGAATTGAGTAGCTCCTACCACAGCATAAAAATAAATTTTATGATGGAACTCTCCCACTGATTTGAAAATTTTACATGGTGGAACTCTCTCACTGGAGATAACTATAACAGGACACAAGAGCAAGGTTTATTATCTATTAGGGCATTCGGCACCCTAGGGCCAAAATCCAAACCTTACAGGGTTTTTGATAAATGGGTCTTATTAGAGTCAGGATGGATCAGATATCTAAAAATTCCTATGAAATTGCCATTGGTAGGTTGGGGCTAACTAGGATTGTCACCGGGCCACCAAACCAACCCTCCAGGTTGATGGGTTCCGGTATAAAGTATAAATGAAAGTAAATTTAAGAAAATCTAAGTTAATATCCATCCATCTGAATATTGTATGTTTTATTTTACTATTTTTAAAAGAATATTGTTCATTTGTGTGGAACACAATATCCAATCATTAGAGAAAAGCATGTTTTTGAAACCAGAAATTCAAGGATGCATTCCTTGTTTCGATTTTAGAAGCAACAGCAGTGTTTGGTTTGATAGAATCTGAGAAACACAAAACTTGTGGGGAAGTTCGGCTTAGTTTGGAAAGAGTACAAATGCAAATATGTATGGTAAAAATACATACAAAATAATATAAAATACAAGGTTTTGCACTCTACATATATTTGTATTTGTACTCCTTCCAAACTGAGCCTTGAACTTTACATGAGAACATGCTTTGTGCGGTTTGTATTAAGAATGAATGTTTTCTTTTCCCCAAATCATATGTAGGACCTTTCTTTTTTAAACTCGTTACAACAATAAAAACAATATCATGTTGGAGAATACTCGATTCAATGATGACTACTAAATTTACAAACCAGAGCAAATCAGCGTGGCTTGGCATTTTACTTTCGCTACAAATAACTTTTCTACTGATATCAACTGACCATCAATAGAAAAAGTAAAGTACCTTTGTTTTGCCATCTGTGAAATAGCTTTGAGTCTTTGATAAGTAAGCTCAAGTAAATCAAGCCTTTGAAGAACTTGTAACTGATGAAACAACTTAACGTGAAAGGTTCTTTTGTGTGGAGCAAATTACCCCAAACCTACTGATGAACCAATCACCACCTAAGTGTCCATACTCCACCACAAATTATGATACCTGGATACCCATACAAGGGCAATATCTTCTAATGTTTGTTCCAGGTATGATATCTTGTCCACCTGTCCTTGCAGTATTGGGGTATCATGGAAAATGAGCTGATACTTACAAAGACAGGTCACGGAGAACACTGTCCAAGGGAGAAGTGATACATACTAGCAACTTTTGACACACTTGTTGCAATTCCAATGAAGGGTCCGTAAAGGAAATACTTGCTAGCACTGATCTTGCTTCCAGTAGTCCCCCTGATATACTCTCCACAACTGCATCTTCACTTGCCATGAGGGATGCCATCAGCTTTGCACCAGCCATTCTTTCCTGATGAACAATTGTTCAACCAAACCATGAGAACTAAATCTGGAGTACTTATTTATTTTTGAAACAGATAATGTATTGCATTTCATTGCTAAATGTCAAAGAGAAATTTCATAGAAGAAGGATCAGCACCAATGTACACCAAGACCTCACATAGCTTGAACCAAGAATTAGAATCCATGAAAACCGTATGAAAATCCAAAAAAGGAGTTAAATGACATTCCCCTGAAAGCTTCATTAACTGACAGCCATAAACATAAGGTTCCCAAAGCGTTCCTTTTAAACACATCAGCTGAACTCTTATTTTCAAAGACAATGCCCTCACCCCAAATGGTCCAAAAACTGCAAAAGGTATTGTATTCCATACCACTTCATCTCTTTTACGCAAGCATTTGATGTACCAACTATGTTAAAAAGGCTTCAACTGTAAAGAGAAAGCATCCTGTCAACTCAAAAAATACTAAGGAATATTAACAATTGATCAGAGAGATTGCAGTGGATAAATAGATGGTTTGCCATCTCTATACCATTGGAGAAAAGCACACACCATACTGTCCAGTGCTGTTCCTCTCCTACTTTAGTTGTCATAAGTTAGGCATTACGTATGGCTGCTCTATATACCAAGAATACCACCTTTGATGGAACATAAAAACCCACACTTCCAGAACATGGAGAAGTGCATGGAAAATCATTGCTGAGCTGCCTGAAAAAAAGAGTTGGTTATAAAGGATCCAGATTTGTCCCGTATCTGAATTCTTTGGTTTTTTGCCTAGGTTAAGTTGCAGTTTTGCACCTTTCAGATTTTCATAAACAAATCAGCCATAGAGTTGATTTTCCTAATTGCTAGATTAGCTTGGGTTCCATACAACTTAAATTATTCTGGACTCCAAAATATTGACTAAAGAAATTCAATCAGTACAACTCGATAGCAGGGTGTTCATCACACCATGGATCTCTTCAAAACCTTACCTGCAAGCCATCACCCAGCTATCATTGGATACCTTTGTGCCGGTAACACTTACTGTCTCTGTCCAAATCCCTCATCCATACGAGTCTTGTCATTTACCAGGGTCCTGACTCTTCTTGTCCCATACTTGGCCAAAATAACCTGTTTCCATAAACTCTCCAGTTCATTTAAGTTCCAAAGCAACTTGCCTATGAGGGAAATATTAATTTCTCTCAGGGTAGGTTAGCTGGAAGTAGAGCTGTTTGAAACGTGTGTTTATTGTTGTCTATGTTTCTGTTAGTTGTTTGTTGGTCTGTCATTGCTTTCTTTTTTAACATAATATCCTCTTTCTACAAAAATGACACTAAACAGAACGGAATGGTGAAACAGGATTCATGTAGCCGACCCCATATAGTTGGAATATGGCTTAGATAATTATGCTTGCTACCGGAAAAAAAAAAATCTCGCCCCTAGAGCTCCCACATTTTCTCAGGTGTGTACTTTACTGCTTTCTACCAAGTAGATCTTAGCCTTGCCTTTGTATCCTCTCCAAAGAAAGTGTGATTTTTTTCAAGTTCAGTGGCCACTCTTGCCAGTAATGGGAGGGACTATTAATCAATGTTTTAAAAACCAATCCGAAGGCTGAAGCATTTTCCCTCCAGATCACAGGTCAGCCATTCAACCATCTGGTTTGGACTAGTCAGATTGTGGCACATCATTATGTATGTATGCTTTATTTTAGGTCTACATGTAATATATGTTCAATTTTAGGTCTAGTTTATATTTTAGTTTTTAAATTTTTATTAGTAAAAAAAACTAAAATTGAGATTTTAGGCCTTTCTTTGGCAAAATAATGCGACAAGGTGCCTTCGGTGCCTTGGAACACAGATCACGAAAAGCTACCCAAAATAAAAAAAAAGATCACCCCAATCAGATAACTGAGCACAAGGTTATGGCTTCTGTAAGTTTGCATATAAATTGTAACTTGTAACCCATGACCCATTGACCAGGTCAAGAGGGTCAATGGTCAACCACCTAGGTTGAACAGGTTTTGACCAAGTCAACAGTTCTTAATTTGTTGGCATGTTTGAGGTTGGCCTGAACTGGAATTATGACCAGCTGATTGTTTTAACAGTCCAACCAATTGGGTCAACAATGATTTGCAAACACTGCTATTAATAAGAGTGAATTTACCTCACTTAGATGGTTTCCTAGATTTCCGTGGTCAATATCTAACAAAAATGTTAAAACATGATATCGTAGATGGATTGAGGTATACATCTTTTACCCAATGGGAGACCTAAATATTTTGGTACAAGTGTCCCAATCTTGCATCAATACTTCAGTTAACTGATTCAACTTTGGTACTATGCCTATTGCTATAAGTTCTCTCTTTTTGCATCTTTATGCATAACCTACAGACAGCCTCAAACCACCTTGATACCTAACAGAGATTTACCATCTCCTGGGACACCTTACAAAAGAATAGTTTGTTGTCAACAAATTGTAGGTGGGATCATTGTAGTCACTATTCACCTGAAAGCCTTCTATAAAACCACTTGTGTAGCTGACATGGTCATTTTATTAAATGCCTATAAAGAATGAGGATAATGGATCTCCTCACCTGATATCTCTTGAGCTGTAAAATTTTCCTTGAGTAACCCACTTATAATCACTAAAGAATCTCCAATTAACATGATTATATGCCTTCTCCGTATCAACCTTGCAAGTTACCCCTACACACCCACTCTTGAGTCAGAGTCAATTCATTTTAACACCTTGTCAAGGATTGGTGTCCCTCCACAAAAGTTCATTGTCGTTGTGTAATCATAGCATCCACAATCTTCTCCATTCAAGTAACTAACACCTTCAAAATAATCTTATACATACTCTCCAAAAAGCTGATCAGATGATAATGTTTGACATCCATTGCCCCTCCTTTTTTGGTACCAAGATTAGAAAATTGCATTAAGACTCCTCTCGAGAGTTCCATTGGAGTGGAATTCACCAAAAATCTTCATGATGTCTTCTTTAACAAAATCCAGCACCTCTTAATAAAAGGTCATTGTGGATCAATTTGGCATTGGTGGTCTGTCACCCACCATAGCATCAAGAACACCTTTCATTTTTTCTTTTGTGAACCTTTCTTATCACCTACTTGCTCATCTCTTATGACATCAAAGTGCAGCCCATCCAATTAGTGTCTTGCTTTCCATCTTAGCCCGTATAGCTTGGCATAGACTGAATGAAAGTCCAATAATTCAATCGGTCCAGTTCTCAATATCCTCAATCTGTTAGCCTGCTAGTACTACATGCACCCATTCTTTAGCCATCACCTGAGACCTGGAAGTCCTCCAGAACTTGTCTCAAGTCAGATCAGAGCTCTGGCAACATCATTACATACATATCTTCTCCATCTATGATATTAACTACCACCGGAGAAGCTCTGCATCTTGCTCTTACCCAGATCCATTCTATAATGCACCTAGATTTCTCCAAGTCATCAATATCCACAAAGATCTCCTATTATCTGGACAGAGAAGCCACTCCAAAGATGAAACAGAATCCTAAATATTAGGGGTGCTCATGGTTCGGTTAACCAAACTGTGGGCCTATTTTCCAAACCGAACCAGTACCACCAGTTTTTGGAAAACTGTGAACCAAAATTGAACCGAAGCCAATTGGTTAACCGGCCGATTGGTTCGGTTTGTCAGTTTTTTATATTTATAATATATTATAAATAAATATACAAATATATAATACAAACACAAGAAATACATATAATATATGATATTATAAATAATAAATAATATATTATATATTATAAATATATACCGTTCGGTTCAGTTAACTGCCAATTTTTTATATTGGTTCACTGAATTGACCAGTTCGGTTAACCAGAATTTTCAGTTTGGTTTCATCAGTTTGGTTCGGTTTTTTGGTTTTTGGTGGTCACCCCTACTAAATATTCTACTTACAGATCATTTCTGGATTTCCTGCATTCTGTGACCAGCAAAATTTATGGGGAAACCCCTTAAAATTCCTCAAACGAATCTTCCAGACATAATCTACTTCAATACTGAAGGTAGGATGAAGAGCAATGAGATTCAGCAAACCTCCTCACTCAAACACCAAAAGGAACTTTCCACTCCCTAGCCAATCAGATCAGAATATTCTCCACTGATATATTCCTTCTATCAATTGAACCCACCAAATGCAATTTTAGAATTTCCTTCCTTTCCCTCTTCCACAACCACCACTAAGAAAAAAAATCTTCAATCCAAACTAAAGTTGAATGAGCTATCTGTTGACCACAGTTGGGGCTTTGCTATCTCCAAGAACAATCCACCACTCTCACCCTCTGAGGTTTGAAGGTCAGCCAAAGTTCTTTCAATGTCCCTATAGACCTATACCTTTCCTTTTCAGATCACCCTAGTCTCTACTCTACATGGGGTATTTACCCTGTGTACTCATTTTTGAAAAACCCACAGCTACCTCCTAGTCTGCCTCTACCCCATGCTGTAGGTTTGGTTTCACATGAGCATCTTTCCAAATGCTATCATCCTTCAAAACACCACCTCTGGTCATCATTGTTGGTCATTGCCATTATTGTTAGTTGTCAGACGTTATTGAAATGTGAAGTTTTGCAGCTACCTGAAAGGTTCTTAATTGCATATTCTAGTTGAAATCACAAGACGAAGAGGAGAGGATCTGTGCAGTAACAATGTACTGAATCTAAACCTCCTCACTACACCAAAAGGAACTTTCCACTCCCTAGACGATCAGACCAGAATATTCTCCACTGATATATCCCTTCTATCAATTGAACCCACCAAATGCAATTTTAGAATGCCCGTCCTTTTCCCTCTTCCACAACCACCACTAAGAAAAAAAATCTTTGATCCAAACTAAAGCTGAATGAGCTATCTGTTGACCACAGTTGGGGCTTTGCTATCTCCAAGAACAATCCACCACTCTCACCCTCTGAGGTTTGAAGGTCAGCCAAAGTTCTTTCAATGTCCCTATAGACCTATACCTTTCCTTTTCAGATCACCCTAGTCTCTACTCTACACAGGGTATTTACCATGTGTACCCACTTTTGAAAAAACCCACAGCTACCTCCTAGTCTGCCTCTACCCCATACTGCAGATTTGGTTTCACATGAGCATCTTTCCAAATGCCACCATCCTTCAAAACACCACCTCTGGTCATCATTGTTGGTCATTGCCATTGTTGCCAGTTGTCAGACGTTATTGAAATGTGAAGTTTTGCAGCTGCCTGAAAAATTCTTAATTGCATATTCTAGTTGAAACCGCAAGACGAAGAGGAGAGGATCTGTGCAGTAACAATGTACTGAATCTAAATGCCTCTAATGGTTTTGATAAATTGAAATGACAGATCCGGAGACAGCAGAGACCAAGTAGATCCTAACTCTGAAGCTGTTATGCAAATTAGAAGCCTAAAAGGAATGCGGTTATATCAGCTCCTAAGGGTGGAAATTTCTGTGCAACATATTTTCACACAGTAGCTATATAGTGGAACTCCAGGTGTGAAAAGCAAAGATTCGTTTGCAAGAGAATAGAGGATATACAAACAATGTGTTCATACCTTCCATGCTCCTTTTTGGAGAGCTTTTATGGAGATCTTAAGTAGCTCAGATGAGTAAGGAAGAACTAAGGACTTGAGGTGGTACACAGCTGAAAATAAAACCTGAATGCATGCTGCTCTAACTTCTGAATCTGTTAACCTCTACACCATTTTAAACCACCAAAGATACAAAGAGTAAATATGGTAAAATCATAGATTGTAAAATTTAATATTTGAATAATGTACGTGTTGGAAGCTAACGTCAAATTATAATTTTTTTGTTACCTCTGTAGACTGAACAAGAACTGGAAGAATTTTTTGAGCTAACGCAAACTTGCTGGAGCTTGAGATTTTCTGACAAGCACTGATAAGGACATTAGCCATGCACAGACGAAAAGACAGAGGAGTTGATGGCTGAGATACACATCCAAACTCTGTTGAGTTGCTGTCACTTGGATCACTAATACTCTTGCTTCCACAAAATGTCAATTGCTGAATTACGTAAGCGAGAACTGAATTGCTCACAGTGGCACTCCCTGCATTTGATAACCACCTAAATTGCTCACACACACACACACACACACAGATGATAGTTTTCTTGATGCGCAACAAGCTGATAATTTTAAACATCGTGCATGTTGCATAATCACAGTGGCACTCCCTGCATTTGATAACCACCTTAATTTCTCTCTCTCTCTCACACACACACAAATGATAGTTTTCTTGATGCGCAACAAGCTGAAAATTTTAAACACCATGCATGTTGCATAATCAACAATGTTCAAATTGAGGCAAGAAATACTAACCAGGGTAATTTTTCTTTCTAAACATGCCAACCTTATCACAAGGGGGGTCTTTTGATGATTCTGGAGCTTGCAATTCAGCACAAATCATCAATGCTAGACAATCAATGCACCCATGTTGTGCCTTGGAAACTGAGATGAAGCACAAATCACCTTGTACCCATCAGGCTTAAATGGTAGGATAGGATGTCAAAAATATTTACCAAAACAATAAAAATAGGATGTCAAAAACCTTGGGAAAAGCTATCTGTTTCTTACCTTCATCACCATCCAGAGGAGGCCACAGTAGCACCGATTCCAGTATTTTTCTTATTTTAGGCATAACAGGATGTTGAGCTGAATCCCTGCCCCTCACCTGTAACCCAGAGAATACCACTGAAATTGAGGAATGGAAAAGGAGAATGTAGTTTTCATTGACAGCAAATGATATAGAGAAATCAGGAGAATTCAAGAATATGTGATCAGCACAAAATAGATGTTAACAATAAGTAAAGATCATTACCACAAGGGAAGTGCAAACTGAAAACAAGCAAGCCTTTATTTTCGGTATATTATGACACTGTGAAGCGTTCTTTAACTGAAACCAGATAACTGGAAATAACACCTATCACATGAAAAGATACTGATTGTTAGATGGTGGAAGTAAAGATTGAAGAAACAGAATGGTTGAGTTAAATGGCAAAAAGGTAGGGATGATTATGGGCACAGCCAGCCCGGGCTTACAATCAATGATAAGGGCTTGAAGCTAGGCCCAGGCCCGGCCCACACCCCAGGCCTATATTGCAAGTCCAAGCCCAGCCCAGCCCTCTATGGGCCGGGGCCAAGTTTACGGGCTTTCTGGGCCCAATGAATAATGACTTTTGGCCCACATCAAATGATAAAAATAACAAAAAATTAATTATTTAAAAATTTTAAATTAAATAACGTGTAAATGTAATACATACAAAAAATTAAACAAGCCAAAGTTAAATTGGGCTTGGCTAGGCTTTAGGCCTATGGCACAAAAAATAAGGCATGGGCCTCATTTAATTGCTAGGCTTGATTTGGCTTGGGTTACCTATCCTTTTATGGATGAAGGCAAGGCCTTCATTCCCAGTTTTGGGCTATGTGGGACTTGAAAAAAAACTAAATAGTTGGTGCAACCATTGAGTGTTTTCCCAAGTCCCACATTGTTTAGGGAATGAGAATGAAGGCTTTGCCTTCATCTATATAAGGCCTTGCTTAGGAGGACAATTCTCATACTTGAATTGATTCAAGTGTTGACACGTTTCAATTCATAAATATTTATTTATATGTTAAAATAAAACTTAGAACTTTTATATTCTATATAAAAATAATAAACATTTAATATAAAATAAAATATACTTGTGTATACGTAACAAACATTTAATATACACATTTTAATTCATAAATATTTATTTCTTACCATGTTTCAGTATTCATGGTAAGAAATTGCCTTAGTACAGAAGATTCAACTGGCATTAGAAAAACCAAATTCTCTGTAATGGGTGCACTGGAAACTGATCCAAGGTCATTACAATTTCAAGTATAGGATGATGATTCAAAGAAATAACTAAAACAGAACCTCTTACCAAACGAGTAACAAAATAATGAATAAAGAATAGAACAGCGTTGTAGTTAACTGCACAACTTTCATTCCTCTTGTAAAATAATTGTCATTCAAACTTTCCACAGTGAAAAAGGATGTATAATATAAAATTACCACTGGGCCTGGTATATATCATAATACAAGTAGTATCTAGAACCAACAGGGGTGCATGCTACAAGCCTACAACATTTATCAGCCACAATCTATTTAAAAGAAAAGGAAAAGGGCTTCAATAGTTGTCCTTGTGTTTTATGTTTTTGTTCAAGGACATATCAAAGAAGACTATCGCAATCTACAAGCTCCTGCTAAGTGACTATCACATACTTGGGGATGGATACGCCCACATAACTCAGCTGCAAGTTTTCGAACATCTTCAAATTCGAATTTATGAAATGCTCTGAGAGAAAGGCATGAAAAAAAAATCAGATTCCTTTGAAGCTGCTAAAAATCATAAGGAAGAATACATGCTTGTTGGTCAACCTTTTTATCAAGAGGGCTGCTATGCAGGTGTCAGAGTTGAGATTGAAGTCTCTTTCTTCTGCAATTGTTTCATCATAAAAAAGAATGGTTATATCATCAAGGATCACATCTTCCTAGAAAAAAATCTAAAATCTAAATGTAGGCCATATTTTATGGGGGCACACCCCTAATTATGAGACAAGTACATATTTGAGAAGACAAAAGCACCCCTGCGTTTTGACTTTTATCATCACAAACAAAGGCTTCCCCATCATTTCATTAGCAGTGCACCCAAGAGAAAGGAATAGAAAGCACAAAAACATACCACTGAAGAATTCCTGATAGTTAAGCTGATCATACATAAGAGAATAACATAGGTCATTAAAAATTCTTAATGGAAGCAGCCTGATTATAAGTAATGGGCAAAGACGATCAAATAAAGAATGTTGAAATTTAGCAGGGTCATTGCTTGAGTAGCTTCCACTTCCTTCTCTGGAGAAGAACGTTTCATCCATCCTGCTTAAAAGCAAAATCAAATTAATATCAAGTTCAAGCTAACAATTACATCCAGAAAATGTTTGCATGCATAAAAAATCCCAAACCAAAACAAATTCTACAAAAGCAAGATTCAAATAAATGCCAAAAAATAATATAAGATTTTTGTTTTTTTTTTTTTTGGATTCTATTTCATTTATGAGAATGGATGCACATGTGGAATTTTCATATTCATAGAGTAATTGAACAGACTTCTTGCTTTCCACCCAAAGGCTATGGCAAGTGACAACAAATGCACATAAAAGAAAGGTTACATAGCTGGTATACTGAAATTATTCTCCCCTTTCTCCTTTGATGATATTTGGCAGAAGTGGGGAGAGGTGGCACTTTCTACAGACACTAAAGTTAATCCTAGTCCAGCATGGGATCCATTGGAAGAAGAGTTTCTAAAGCTTAACTTTGATGGCAGCAGTCATGGAAATCCGGGGCTTTCAGGTGTAGGGGGTGTAATAAGGGATGAAGGAGGGAATATATTTGGATTTTTTTTCAGGCCTGACTGGTATAGGGGACTCTATCTTTGCTGAGTTCCAAGCAGTCTTGCAGGGGGTGCAGCTTGAAAACAGCTAAGCGTGGACAGATTGATAATTATGGGGGATTCCAAGCTAGTAGTTGGGTGGCTAACAGATCCAGCCTCTGTTATTTGGACCTACAGGGAAGCTGTGAAGAAATTCAAAATGCTGACTACTGATATGAGTGTAAGAATTCAGTGGCAAAGGAGGCCGGCTAATGGCTTAGCAGACTCTCTAGATAAAGTAAGGGGGTTTTAGGGATTCAATGTTTTGGGCTCAATTGTAAGTTGATTGCACCTGAGGCTCACACCTCCTTCTGGGATATGCCTGTCCGTACACTTTCTGTTTAATTCTTAATAAAATTCTCCTTGCCTATCTAAAAAAGAAGGATGTTTAAATACTCGGTCTTAAAAAGCATTGTTTGATCTGCTTCCAACTCCTGTTTCATTTATCAATTAACACTCAGTTTGGGATGAGTACAAATACATATGTACAGTGCAAATACTACATTTAGAAATGCCATATACAAGAGTTTGCACTGTACATATTTGTATTTGCACTTTCCCAAACTGAGCTTAAATGTTTGTTACTTACCAAACAAACAAATAAATAAATACATAGAAAAAACAATGAAAATGAAATAGATCATTGATAACCAACTTAAAATTGAAAGACTGAAGAATTATAGTGCATAGGTTTACCAAGGAACACTAGTTCTTAACGAGCAGGTTTTGATCCTCTCCAGCACTAATTTCCCTCAATTAAATTTTGTTACTTACCAAGCAAGTAAACAAAGAAATGCAAATGAAATAGGTCATTGGTAATGGTAACCAATACAAATTCACACAAAAGAACTTAAAAGACATACATAAGTATAATTAGATAGACAAGAAAAATCACATAACACAATATATACTTACTCTCCTTGTGCTTGCATATGTAAGAGAACACGGTGGAGAACTACATCAGCAGCATCTGCTAAATGCTCACTTATGCAACTCAAAAACCGGACAACAATTGCATTTTCTGGTTCTTTGAAAAATTTGTCAATCAATGGTTCAATGAAAATGTTCCAATCCTGGACCTATAAAATTTGAAACAAATTATTAGTGTGAAAAATGATTATAATCTAAGGCAAAATTATTGCAGTAGAGCCATAGACCAAAAATGCTTTGCTCTCTCTCTCTACACACACCCATGTAGGAAAAGCTTTGCTGGTCAAATCATTTAGACAGGATTTCTAAACAACCCAGTAATCTTATGCATGGCAATGTTGATGGGGCCATAAACTCTAACCATGTCTCTAAAATAATCCTTATATCAAGGCAGCTTTTAAATTTAAAAATAGTAATATAGGATTTATCAATATTACTTGGGGCAAATGTCAATATAAGGTTTGGAACAGGCTGATAAGGATAGTGGGATGGGCAGGTAGCTGATCCACGGGATCACCAATCCAATGAATGGTTTGTACAGGAAATCATTCCTCTAGGCTAAATCATTAAGGGAGCTTCCTGATTGACTCAATTAAGCAAACCTTTTTCCTCACTCTGTGTATATGTATGTATGTATATATTTATTTGTAAGTAAATAAGTATGTATGAATTTATTTATGTATAGTTTTATTTAAAGATCTTATGGCTTGAGTTTATGTAAGTAAATAAGTGAGCTCTTCTTATGGGATGAGTGTGTGGAAAGGCACAATGAAATTCTACTCTACAACCATTCTTATCTTGGAAGGTGGGGAATGGGTCAAGCATAAGGAAGAAGAAGGATTTTTCTTCAAAGCTGGTAGTGGAATGGTTGCAAAAGGAAGAAAAAGTATTTCAGGTTTTTAATAATGAAAAGAATTCAAGTGGCTGACACAAAATATGGATGTGAATTCAGTTGGGATAAAAGAACTGCAAATGGATTTTCTTTATGTACTAGCAAAATAAGGGGTGGGAAGGAATCAATTGTTTTGGGCTCAACTGTAATGGCAAAATTCTTCTCTGGAGAGTTATGAAAGTTTCCTCTCCAATTCTTGTTTGTTTTATTATAATTCTAATGAAATTCTGTTATTGATAANGGGGGGGGGGTCAAACATAAGATTTTGGGAGGATGAATGGTTAGAAGTGGGGAAACTGTTTGACCTTTGCCCAAGGCTGTATAATTTGAGCAGGAAGGACTTAACCATATCTCAATGCCATGAGGTAAGGCAGGGGGTGGTGGCATGGTACCCTTATTTTAGAAGACTGTTGTTGGACTGGGAAGTGGATGATTGTATGAGGTTGCTGGACAAACTACAAGGTGCAGACGTTGATCCAGGGAGTGCAGATGCTAAATAGTGGAAGGCTTGTAAAAATGGGATGTTTTTGGTTAGATCCTTTTACAAAGCTTTGGCAAGAAATCAGATGAAAGCTACTTCAGTCAAAGGAGTTATAGGGAAATCCAATTCCCCAAAGGGTGGAAGCTTTTGCACGGCTGGTGTCAAAGGATAGTGTTCTCATTCACGACAAGCTGAAGAAAAGAGGACCTCATTTGGCAAATAGATGTGTGTTATGCTTCTCAGAGGAAGAAAGCATTATTCACTTGCTGGTGAGGTGCAGTTTTTCAAGAGGAATTTGGGGTTATTTCTTCCAACTTTTCAGATTGAATGGGTGGCCAATGGTCATCTAGGGAGTGTTCGACAATATAGTCGGTTTTGTTTTTGAAAACAACTGCCACATCAGCAAAATTATATTATTTTTGCTGCTGAGGCAGTTTTTTTTTCAAAAACAAAACCAACCATGTTGTCGAACACCACACTAGTGATTCAAAGGAGATTTTTGAGTTTTGGCCTAGATTTAATGGAGACATCAAAGCAAAGATTTTATGGAGCTGCATTCATTTTTCTGTTTGCTGGAGATCTGGAAAGAAAGGAATAGAAGAATTTTTTAAGGGAAGATTGGATGTGGTTATTGGAGCAAAGCTTCTGGACAGGATGCTGATTCTACCAGAATTAGAAGGATTTAAAAATCTGTTTAAAAAAAAAATAGTTGTATGGTTTTTCTTCTGTTTCTTGTTTCTGGGGTTGGGAAGGTAACACCTTGTTACTGAATCTTCTTGTAATACTTTTCCTTTTAATAAATTTCTTTCTTTATCTATCTTTAAAAATAAATAAATAAGTAAACAAACTGAAGGCAGCCTTTGTTAATTCCCCTCCATACACTACATCCACAAGTCAACTAAGAGCCCTCTGTATCCCAACCATTGGGACATATTCCATACTTTTCAGCAATCAACTTTCTCCATAAGTCATCTGGTTCAGCTACAAATTGCCACAGCCATATCCCCAAGAGTTCCATGTTAAAAATTCTCACTCTTCTAATTACACAATCTATCACAAGAAGATGGGTTTACAAATCTATTTCCAGATTACTAGGTGAAATTTTTTTAAGTCCTTTCATCCAGCCCAATGGAAATCATGCCTTTTTTTTTCCAATTTTCGTTGTCACCTCCCTAGGATTTGGGAAGAGAAACATTAATATGCCGGTAGACTAATTAGCACGCTTTTGGTAAATGTCTTACCTCCTTTAGAGTGGTAATTGGTCTCGTCATGGTCAACATCATCTCAGTGACAGTAAACACCATTTCCGATGACAACAGCTACGATGCTGGGTGAAGGTAAGATGCATAGGATTTTTGTCGACTAGAGCAAGGTTCAAAGTATTGATACGATATGCCCTGTATCAGGCATATCGTATCGTATCGTATCTTTTGGGTTCCAAATCACCTTCTTATAGGTGTTTTGGAAACCCTCTTTTTTGATGAAAAATATATATAAAACCTATGCAAAAACCAATTTTTTAAAAAAAAATAAAAAAATATAAAAGCGCAAGGTTTTAAGTACCAATACACCTCTGTCGACACACAAAGGTGTATTGATACTTTGAACCTCGGACTAGAGTGGGAGGACAAATACCCAAGTGCCGAGAACATCTTTCCTAGAGGACAATTATCCAAAGAACAGGAGTTGCACAGGGACTAGAGGAGAAAGGGTGGACGAAAGGTGAGAAATGGAGGGCAGAGTCCTTCGTAGAGAAAGCAAAAGCTCTGGAATGGACGGAGGAGAGGCCATGGTTAAAGTGGGAAGGAAAAGTTTCTTTGTGGAAATAAGTGGGTTGGGAGAAGAAAAGAGGAAGGAATTTCTAAAAGCCTGCTTGGTCAATTCGATGGAGACATCCTATTCAGTGGCAATGTTGCAACAATGGGCGGTGAGGAAATGGAACATAGCATTTGGTGTTAGGGTAAGAAGACTACATGGGCAGCATTTCTTGTTTATACTACCCTCAAAGGAAGAAGCGGTCAGGGTTTGGAGGACAAGGGTAAGGAATGTAGAAGGCTTTGTTATGCACTTGGTTCCATGGGAGGTATACTTTGAGGGACGGGACAAACCCCTAAAAGAGGGTGATGAGCACTGGGTGAAAATCTTCAACCTATCGTTGCAATTTTGGATTGTTAGCCAAATAGGGGAATTGTGTGGAGGTTATGTGAGAATGGGCAACTCACGGGAGGCAAAGGAGACAGCAGAATGGATAAGGATTAAAGCACTTTGGAAGGGCTACACTCCAGTAAGAGCAAATATATTAGCAAGGAACAAAATGGTAGTGGTAAGCCTACGGCCGGAAATACACCCTGAACAATTTAGGAAGATGGAAGATGCAAAACAAGCAATGATAGCAAAGAAATACTTCATCCACTTGGCCCTATCAGGTTTAGGCATCTAAGCTGAAGTACACTCAAAACTGAAAGGCAAGACAATAATTGAGGAGGACATAGGAGGAAGCGACGTCAATGCCAGAGAAGATTGTAGTGATAGGGGAACAAAGAGAGTGAAGTCAAATGAGCTACTAAGGCATGTGGTAGAAGCTAAAGAAGTTATTGAGAGAAGTGAGCAGGTGCACAAAGAAAAAAGTAATATGGTCTGTCAACTAGAAGAAGTGGGTAGTAAGATGTCAGAAGGCGACCGGTGTGTAATTAATAACCCATTTCAAATTTCAAATCTAGAAGAGCTTTGTGAAAAGATCATTGAAAGATGTTGTGAAAGGTTGAGGATAGATGGGACAATCTTGGTTGTAAGAGAAGGATAAGTAGATCTAGGCATTGAAATCGAAGAAGGTGCTCCAGATCTTTCATGTACACAACGGAGGATTTGGATGCCAATCAATCGACCCCTAAGGGTATAGAGATGGCCCCACATGTGGTATCAGGTACAGGAACTGGGAAGGGTGAGGGCTCTCTAGTTGTCAAGCCCACAAGGGGGCCTACTGTGGGGGGGCCTTGGAGAGGTCCCAACGTGGTGAAACCAATCAACATGATTCGGTGGTTGGATCAAGTTCAAGTCAGGATGGGATCAAGGTAAAGACATAAATACTGACCGTTCAAAAGTTAGGGTGGAAGCTATTAAGGGTAATACACCAGAGAGAAGCTACAGATAGGAGCCTGTAGGGGAAGGCATGAGGATGTAGGGAAAGGAAACAAAGTAGAAGTACAAGAACAAGAGAAGACAAAGCATGATAGGAAGGAGGAAGCATCCAAAGGAGGAGGCATAGTTATCCTGAGCGAGAATAGCATTGTGACTAACGATGAAGAGGAAGTATAGCCGCTTGTAGTGGTTTGGTAGATGAGAATACAAAGTCGTTCAATTGCTACCAGTGGCTACACTAAAAGAACTTTTTAGGCTAGCATAAGGCTTGAATGAGAAGGCCAATAGTGCAAGTAGGGGTAAGAAGGCATGTAAGTGGAGGTGCAACAATGGTGGGACCTTGACTGTGGAGTTGTACATATAAAGTCATTTTCTTTTTGGTAGTGGTGTGCATATGGAGTTGCTCAAAATAGCATCTTGGAATATAAGGGGTCCAAACTTAGGATGAAGGAGGGTGGTTACCAATGCTTATCTGAAAAAGTGGAATCCTGGTAGTCTTTATATTCAGGAAACGAAGACAGAGAAACTGAATCAGGTAGTGGTTAGAAGTGTCTACGGGAGCACAATTGTGATTGAGAAATATGTATACCATTCTTACTTAAGTTGTAAAGCCAAGGACATAGCTCAGACAACTTTCAACCACAATCCAGTCATCCTCCCAAAATCTCACACTTGAACCACTCCCACCTTCCAATTCAAAAAGGCTGAATCAAAGAGTTAAATTTCATGATCCCTTTCCAGACACTCACCCCATAGGGAGATCAGATTTCCCTCACATCCTACCCAAAATTCACTACTCCATATTTGCAAGCCACCACCCTTCTCCATGGAGCTTCCCTCTTTACCAAACCTCCAAACCCATTTCCCAAACAAGGCCTTATTAAAAGTTCCCACCCTTCTCACTCCCAAATCCCCATCCCTCTTGGCCCTACAAACCAGGTCGCAACTCACCAAATGATATTTCTTTTTTCCCCCTTTAGATTCCAGAGAAAGTCTCTCTGTAACTTTTCAATTTCTTCTTGAACTGAAGCTGGAGCCTTCAGCAAGGACAAGTAATAAATGGGTAAGTTAGAAAGAACACTCTTTATTAAAGCGATTCCCCCAACAGAGAGGTATTTGCCTTTCCAACCTGCTAACCTTTGTTCAATGCTGTCAATAACAAGTTACCAAGCATGTGGACCTGCAGCCCTAGTCCCAATGGGGAGCCCTAGATAAGAGAAAGGGAACTCCCCAACAAGGCACCCTAAAGCCCCAACACATCCCTCCAAGCAGGCCTGGTGAATCTCTCTCACCCCAATTATTACACTCTTACTTAGGTTGATTTTTAACCCCAAGAGCAGTTGGAAGCTTAGAAGGATTCCTCTCAGGTTGTAAGCTTGTTCTACAGATGCACCCGTGCAGATCAAGGTGTCATCAGCATATTGAAGATACGAAATAGTTAACGTCACAGGTCCAATCTTGAAACCAGCCAATAAACCTGTTCCTACTCCTCTATTCAACAACTTACTCAATACTTCCACTACTAGAGCAAACAACAAGGGGGATAAGGGATCCCCTTGCCTCAAACCCCTCAAAGCCTCAAAGAATTTTGTTGACATTTTTCTTTTATCAATAACAACATTTCATTAATTAATCACAGAAGTAATTACATGGAGGAAGATAACTTTCTTATCTTCCATCTGGAGCTTGAGCTCCCAAGAACAGAAAAAGACAAAATTACACTTGTGCCCAAAACATTGACTCCCTCTTGACCCCTTGCTTAGCTAACCCATCAGCAAAAGAGTTAGCTGATCTTTTCACCCAGCTGATCTTGACAACCATCTCTTGAACCAGCCACCTACATTTCCTCCTCTCATTACTGTATATCCATAACATGCTATTTTCTTTATTCAGCCACCCTACCACCACCTCCGAGTCCCCTTCAATTATGAGTTTTCTTATACTCATCTCCTTTGCTCTTTGGACTCCTTCCAAAACTGCAAAGATCTCGGCCCTGAGAGAGTCACCCACTCCAATTGGGCCTGAGAACAGGGCTGAAACAAACCCATTCTCATCCCTAAAGCTGAAAAGGATACATATGAGATGCACGCAAACATCCAGCTTCTCCATTTCTCCCCAAAGCCCATCCTACTAAGCACTTCCTCCAAGAAACCCCATTCTACATGATCAAATGCCTTTTCCAAATCAATTTTGCATCTTACTCCACCGTCCCCTGCCAATGATTTTGTATGGACTTGACATCAAACTTATAGGCCTATTTCCTTCACCCTGGTTGCACCTACAACCTTTGGAATAAGCACAATGAAAGTAGCATTTGCAGATTTTTCAATCTTCCTTCTCCACCCAAAGTTTCCTAAACATCTCCATAAGATCCTTTTTTATAAAATTCCAGAACATCTTATAAAAGGTTATATTGAATCCGTTTGCCCCCAGCACCTTATCCCCTTTCATTTTCTTGACCACATTCCACACCTCAAGCTCTCTTTTCAGCCATGATTTTAACTCTCCATCTATTTGCGGAAAAACTAGATCCCCTAAGGGACAAAATCTCCTTGGCTTGGCTTCACAGAGCTTCCCATAGAACTTACAGGTTTCTTCAGCTATTTCCTACAGGTCCTCTATAACCTGATCTCCTTCTTCTAATCTCAAGATTGAGTTCTTCCTTCTTCCTCTCACCATAGCCTGAAAGCAGTACTTTTGTGGAAGAGCATCGTGGAAAACCAAATATTTGTCCAAAGGAGGTAAAGTCACTTTAATCAACAGTGTGCTGTCCTCCCTCCCTATATACGATAGCTTTATTACCAATTCCGGCTAAGTGGGCTGCAGCGTTAGAAAAAAAATAAAGATGAGAGATTTCCTGTTGAGGGGGTAGAAGGAGGAAACAAAATGCCACCTGGTAAACTGGAAGAAAATATGCAGATCCAAAGCTAATGGGGATCTAGGAATCAGATCAGTGAAAGATGTACTTGCTTGGAAAATGGTTATGAAGATTTAATGAGCGTACGGATAGTCTGTGGAGAAGGTTAATCGTAGCCAAATATGGACCCAGTAGCAGGGAGTGAGAAACAGAATAAGTAATATCTTCCTACGGGTGTTCAAGTTGGAAGGCAATTCAGAAAATACATCCTCAGTTTTTGAAGGGCATAAAATACAAAGTGGGCAATGGTCAGAGGGTGCTTTTTTGGAAGGACCACTGGTGTGGGGAGGGCCCTTTGATGACCTTATTCCCTGATCTATTTGAAATTGCTGCAAACAAGAATGCAATAATGGTTGATTATTTGGAAAGGCAAAATGGATATTGTATTTGGAACCTGCAATTCAGGAGGAACTTAAACAACTGGGAGGTGGCATCTTTCATTGACTTGCTTCAGATTCTATATGACAAGACAACTGGAGTAAGGGAGGATAAAAGAAAATGGATTTTTGAGAATCAGGTTCTTTTTCTGTGAAATCCTTCTTTAAATTCTTGTCAAGGAAGGATACCTCTTCCTTCCCAAGTGAGAAGTAACAGGATATGGATCAGGGCTGTACCATCTAAGCTGGCTTTTTTTTTGTCTGGTCACAAGTGCTGGATAAAATCCTAACCATAGTTGTCAAGGCAACGCCCAGGCAACAAGGCACCCTTGGAGACTCACCTCATCCAGTCGCCAAGCAGTTTTGCGTACTGTGTTATAAAATACTTTCATATTTTTAATTTTTGACATTATAATTATAAAATAGACATTAATAAACTAGAATATTGATTTTATGTGTTTATATACTAATTTCTTTTTATTATTTTCTTATTTGTTAGAGTTTAATCAACACAAACATTGCTAACTGCTGTATTGAACCCATAGTTCAAAGTATTGATACACCTCCTGTGTATTGGCAGAGGTGTATCAGTACTTATAACAATACTCCCCCTATTTTTTATTTATTTGGTTTTCATTTTTTTTTAAATATATATATATATATATATATATATATATATTATTTAAAAAATGGGTCCCCGAAAACACCAGTAAACAGGTGTATCAGGAACCCAAAGATACAATACAATACACCCGATATGGGGTGTATCGTATCGATATTTTGATCATTGATTGAACCCTCAGATTTCAAAACCTGAACCAATAAGCAAGGGAAGAACTTAAAATTTTGTCTAATCACCACATTTTCTTCTTCCACATCTTCTTCTTCTTCTTCCACATCTTCTTCTTCTTCTTCCACCTTTTCTTTTCTTCTTTTCCTCTAACAAAAGTAGGGGTTCAGCCCCTATATTTTTTGAACTTTCTTTCCTTTGTTCTTTCTCTTCTGATAAAATGTTGATTTTCTAGACTTAAACATGAAATTTATACTTCTCTTATGAAAATTATGGATAATTATTAAGGAAAGATGATTATGGAACCTAAGGAACTACCCTAGGGCATATGGTTTTACTTAAAAAAAAAAATCCATAGCCTAGGCATCGCCTAGCCTTGCCTTGGTGCCTTGAAAACTATGATCCTAACCAAGGAAAATCTAGCTAAAAAGGCTTAGAGGTGACAGATATGTCTTGTCCTTTATTAATCAATGTTTTCCATCTGATGTAAAGGGATTCATAGGGGCATGGTTCATACAAGGCTTAAGCAAGGCTTGAAAGGTAGCATGGAGCATCCTCTTCCTCCCCTTGGCAGTCTTCTGGGCAGTGTGCTGTTAAAGAAATAGTAGAATCTTTGAAGGGAGGCAGACTTCAAAGGAAGAGGTTCTTAGCAAAATTCTGAGGATGGTTCACTCATGGTTGGAAAATCACCCTTTATTCAGAAATAGCCATACTTGTTCTTTTTTTTAAATATTGGTTTCCTTTTTGTAAGGAGCGGATAGTTTTTTTCTTTGGGGGGTTTAGTTGTATTGGGCAGATTGTTCATCCTCTGTTCAGTTTCTCATTGTACCGGCCTACCGGGGCTTTGTTGTAATGTTAACCTTTTGATATTAATGACTTACTTTACCTTACAATTTGAGAAAAAAAAAAAAACATTCCTGTTCACCCTCTCCAATATAGGGTTCCAAATACTCTTTGAGGTGAATTTAGCTCCCAGGAGGTAGGCCTAACTACTTGGAAGAGAGATGGCCTAATTTGCAGCCAGCTCATGCAAATTGTCAACTTTACCTACTGCATGATCTATCTTGGCTTCGCAAAAGAATGGTGTATCATTGGCAAACTGAAGGAGAGCTATCTTAGACCCATTTCAAATATTTGTTTATCTTCTTTCCTCGATTAAAAAAAAAACACTTTAAGTCATACATTTTTAAGCATCAAATACATTTGCATATAAAAGGAATTAAATAGGTATTAGCAAAACTAATCTTACGCTTTTTGACCATTCTGGAATCAATCTGAGTACTTTATTGGCATCCAACTTTGATCCTACGGTAACATTAGAAGAAAATGAGCATAGACTGGAACAAGCAAATCAAATGCAAAAAAATTAAAAAAAAAAAAAGAAGAAAGAAAGAGAGAAAGGAAAAAAAGAAAAATAGAACCCCGAACATGGAGAAAGATAAATTGACATTTTGTAAAAGAAGAATCAAATCCATTATATGATAGTGATAGCCTTATAGAAATTTTTATAGCCCTTTTTCTCACCAACGATGAAATGATGTCTCATGCTAACATCATAACAAATATTGGACTAAAATGTTTCCTTGACATTAGATGTGAATCAATCTTCTAATATCAGGTTTAATACTAGTAATTAACAGTGCAAATCAGATCTGAACAATAGTGCAAGAGCTGTGTACGTCGAAGAGAAGAGGTAAGAGAAGAAGTTGAATCATTCACCCTTCTCCTCTAACCCTATTTTATTAATCTCYAAAAATTAATGATGACAAGTATGCCCTTAAGTGGGCGGCCAGCTTGGCAATTACATAAAGAAAATAAACAAGAACAAATAACAGGCCCATTAAGTGTGGCCCATCAACATAAAATAAAAGATAAAAATAAAG